AGTCATTCTTAGTTCACATCCAAGTACTAAAGCCCTAGCAAAGCCATGCCACATCGTTGTAGGTATATTAATGTTCTAAAATACATTATGTTTAGAAAAAAAATTCTTAATCTATATAAATTTCAAACTCCCTTTTAATCTATCATGATCCAACGACAATCTCATGGTTTCTTTTAGTATTTTCTCTTCATGCCTAAAGCATGTGATACATTTGGTCTAGTAAAGAATGTCGCATACTTTATGAAATCAACGTCAAAAGCCAAAAAAAGACCATTCATGTGTCTTACATCATAAGGTGTTGTAATACATCAAGAACTACTCAATATAATGACATGTTTCATTACCAAAGCTCCAAACTTAGATTCAATATTTGTATTTTGATTGGGTATGAACTAGTCGTTGATAATTATTCATATAGATATTGATTTTAATGGTATATGTTGTTTATTCTAGATGTTTTAAAGCAAATCGATTTCCAAACCAAGACAAAAACTAGATGATTAGAATATCATTACATATGAGTCATATGTTTAAAAGTACAAAATCAAGAGGACAACAATGCTTCCACTAGCTCTAATGTAAAAACATATCTTATCATGGTTATGAGCAAATCCAAACTCTTTGAATTTCTCGTATAACTATAGATGCGAGCTCTTAGATGCTTGCTTCAATATCTTTCAAGTTTGTATATTATTATAGGATGTTATTGAATTTAGAAACATTTCCCGTTACACTATAAACACGTCCTTGCTAGGAAGGTCAGTTAAAGAGATGGTTTTCACATTGATTTGACAAAACTCTTCATAGTCATAGTATACAACTATGTATGTTAGTATCCTTATTGACAAAAATTTTCCTTTTAGTCTGTATGACGAAGGCATTCTCTATACGGAAAACCTTAAAGATATGTACATTTCTATCTATATCGTTCTTTATACTGAAGACCTACATACACCCAAAAAAGCTTATTGTTAGGTGTAAGTTCAAATAAGTTTCAGACTTAGTTGTTCTTTATGGATTGCATCACTACATTCATGGTTTCAAGGCATTTTTTTAAGTATATGGATCCGATGCAGCTTCTTGGTAACCAACGGATTCATAATTATCCTCTACTTTACCTTCTATAATAGAAACATGAAATTCATATATCTCGGGTGGTTGATGAATCCTACCAAAACTATGAATGTTGGGTGTTTAATCCTTTTTGTACCTCAGTAACCAAGTACACATGCCCAATACCTTTTCAATTTTTCCAAGATTACATTTCCATTATCATTTTTTAACTAAGGTCCAAGTACGATAATACATGTGTACAAGTTCTGAAAGCATGTCCATACAACACATCATAATCTCCTATTTATCAACTCGAGTTACAAAATGGATACTCAAATACCATTTTTATAAGGTGTTGGATGTTATCACTAAGGAATGCCAATAATAAACAACATGCAAGAGTAGACCTTGACAACTGTATATGTTATTGTTCATCGTTGTGTTTGGTTTCCTATTGGTTATAAGGAAATTGAATTCGTTCAACCATATATTCTTATGGTGTCTCATTGCTCGCTGTTGTGGAACAACATCTACAAGTAGTGGACTTGTAATTGATCCTAATTCTTGTATATTAATTAGTTTCTATACATGGTTGATTCAATACTTTTTTTAAATCAAGAAAAAATGTATTAATGTGATGATGCAAACTAAGTTATGGGTTATATAACAGTATCAAAAAGTATTTGTCTTTAAAGCTAAAAAACATCGAAGACTCACTTCTTTAGGGTATCCACAATATGTTGAACCCCATACAGTTAAATGGATTCTCACATCGTCATTCTACGTTCCATACAACTCAATTAATATTTCTTATAATGTACTGAACTCTACAAAGCTCAATGGAATATTACAAAAGCTCATTTATAATATCCATTTAATAATTATAAAATTTTCATTTTTCCAGTTGAATAGTTCTATGACCATTGAACTCCGTAGAATTCAATGGATTGTCACATCATTATTTTACATTTCATACAATGGTGATTGAACTCCAAATACATTAATACCAAGATGGCATCTCATGTATTTCACATGGTAGATTTTTATCCATTGAGTGACAACTAGATTTGTCACCTTATTCAACTTTCTTATTGATCTCGCAGTTGTGAAGATTCTATTGACATTAAGCTCATTTACTTTTATATCTCTAATATGGATGGAAAATATTTTATTCTTATGTTCTTGCTGGCGGGCATGTTTGGCATGGACTTTTAAGAGCATTTAGTTTTTTTTTTTTTAAACTCGGATATTTTTTATTTTCATTAGATTGTAGAAGATTTTAGGTTTTACTTTAAAAAAAAAAAAAAAAAAAAAAAAAAAAAAAAAACTTTGAATTCAAAAGCTAATTTGTTGGAGCAGCTTTTATTTTTTAATTAAAAATAAAAGCATTTTTTAATTAAAAATAAAAGCTACAACTAATTCTAGCTTTCCTCATATAAAAACTACATGGTAGTTGTATACTTTACATATTAACGAACTAACTTTTCATCGTCTTTTTTTCTACATTTTACTGTTTGGATTAGGTTTGATTGAACATAGGAAGGAACAAGTCTAAAACTTCAAATACTACAAGCAAATAATATGTTTTTCTTGAAACTTACAAAAGAAACGAGAATTGTAAGGTTTGCCTGGCGATTAAACCTAACAAAATCAACTGTAATAAGCAAAAAGGACTATGTAAGTAAGCGCTTAAAACACGATAAGAGGGTGAAAATATATAAGTTGAATTTTCCCATTATCGTCCATGGACTTGCTAGCTTAACATTACCCATGCCAAGGTAATTGATTTTGGTTCTGGCTATGATTATCTTGTTGCTGTTGATGCTGCTGCTGTTGCTGTTGATGATGATAGGGTGAAGAAGTGCTTAACTGATCCAAACCAGCCATACTGAGAAAATGATGATCAACAGTATGAGGTGGAAATCCTGTAAGTCCCAAGAAATCCCTTGTCAACTCATTGTTTTGACCACCGCCATTTCCTTTACTCGGGTTCAGTGCTGCTTCGCCTGACGCTGATATAAATGCTTCTTGAAAGCCGGTACTGTGAGCACTCTTTGTGGAACTCAGCATGTTATTATAAGCCTCTTGAAATGCAGTTGACACTCCAGTTGTACAAGCCAAGGATTCAGTATGAAGCAGCTGAGAGTGAGCATGCATAGCATTGGTTGTGATTGCATCAGTTTGGTGGTCGAAGCAACCGGTGTTCACGTTAGCAAACCCGCCACCTAATCCCAGCATCCCTTGTTGTTCATTATCACTTGAAGACAAATTTCCAAGACCGGAAGCGTGATGATGAGCTGTTAACAGTGATGTAGGTGCACACATGTGATCATGATGGTGGGGCCCACTTAGAATGGACTGGTGCTGTTGCTGTTGATGTTGCTGTTGCTGTTGCTGCAGTGACATGACCATGGCAGTATTGGTACCAGTTGCAGGCTTGCTCATGGTCACACCCATCTGAGCTGCCTTTTGGAGCAATGCGGTGGCAGACATGTGAGGAGGAGAAGAAGGAGAAGGAAGATGAAGATTATTACTTGAATTGTTATTAGGGGTAGGGTTTTGTTGATGATGATGAACAAACCAGGATGGTAACTGATGATTTTGTTGTAAAGTATTTGTCATGATGTTTGAATTGAGTTGTGGGTGTTGCAGGAGATGTTGCGGTTCAGTTTTGAGTGGGAAAGTGATTGGCAAATGGAGAGGAAGGTGGTTTGATGAAAGTAGTAAGGATGATGATGATGAAGATCTTGCATTTTCTCCTGCTAAAGCACCACAGAAGGCTCTGTGCGTAATGAAGCTGTCCCTCCTGTCGTCATGATAGAGATGGAACAAAAAAGAAACAAACAATTTAGCACTCTAAACAAAAAAACGAAACCCATTTATTGTATGTGGAAGCTTAAAAAATTATACCATAACACTGTTCTCTTTTTCTCTCACTCACACACACTTCAAAAATCAACACTATATCATAATATGGATTATTCCACTCGTGAACTTTTATTAAATACTATATGTTTTGTTTATTAAGAATTATTAGACGATTTTACCTTGAGAAAAGTGTGCCACAATCACATCGATATTCTCGTGTGCCACAAATCTTGGAATGAGCTTTCCAGTCGGATTGAACAGCATATCGCTTCGAACACTTCTCGCATTTCCATTTCTTCTCGCCATGTTTTCTTGAGAAATGTTTTTTGATACCAGTGAGGTCTCCAAGTGCTCTTGCGGGTTCATGGTGGACACAACTGGGTTCTGGGCATACATACACCTTCTTCCTAACCACCTCTTGTTTTGATCTTTGCTTCAGCTTCCATGGCAGATTGTGACCTCGTCTATGCAACTGAAGATTCTGATCTCTTTGAAACCCTTTGTTGCAAATCTCACATACAAATCTGTTTGTTGCCATCAGTGATTTTGGAGACATAGCTATCACCTCAGCCTCTGGGTCTTTAAGATTCAATTAAAATGATGTAATTAATCAAATAAAGAAATGGTCTTTATATATATATAACACTTTTAATATCAGAAGGTAGAAGCCAAGATGAAGATACAAGATCAATAAATATACGTCTATATTATAATAACATTGACGTATGTACATGGATTTGATAAGAATCAAACAATAACATATGATAACCAACATGGTTTACCTGGATTGCCTGGAAGATTTCTCTTTTTCTTGTTCGTTTGCGTTTGATTGTCGGAATTAATTGGCACAGAAGCTAAGGAGGACTGTTGCATCTGCTGTGGTGGAGGGTACATAGTACCAACTTCATTCTTGTTACTTGATGAAGATAGGCTTGCTTCATTTGATGCTGATGTTAAGTTTGACATACTGTCATCCAAAAACATACCCTTCATCTCTCTCCTCTCTTTCTTTCTTTATTTTTTTTTCTCTCTCTCTCTCTCTAGGTTATTAAATGAACTGGATTAAACAAAAATTCCTTTTAGCTTTTGCTTTGACTCGATATATCAGAAAGATTGACTGATGATACTTTTATCTTCTTTGAAACCCATGTTCTACGGATCTGAATGACAAGAAATTAAGCCTAAATAAGAAACAAAACATTAGAAGAGCTTTTTGTTCTTGATGAATCTAAGATAAGTTAAGATACAACTAAAATTCAAACGCCAAAAGTCTGGACCTGGCAGGCAGTTACCAAACTTCTTCTTGTCCGAGATATATAGTTATAAGCCAACTCTCCAAGATGATCCAACACAAGAATCCACACGCTCAAGTACAAATTGAGTAACCAAAACAAAAACAAAAAATCCAATCCGTACAGGTTAAGAAAACAAGTTCATCAATACTCTGTGTGTGTGTGTGTGTGTGTGTGTGTGTGAGAGAGAGAGAGAGAGAGAGAGAGAGAGAGAGAGAGAGAGAGATGTGGATGAGAACGTATCCCTAAATTTGGACCTCTTTGATCAAGCGGGCAGCTCTAACCCATCAAAATGGAACCAAAAAACCAAAAGGCAACCGCGATTCTGAAGTTGCATGTTTTTTGTCCTATCCTTTGTTTGCTTCTCATTCAAAAATAAACTCATATACATTATTGGCTTTGCTTTTTGGGATGTACAATTACTACTTTCTCCCTCTCTCATATAAAAATTTATGGTACACTTAAAAAATGAAAATAGTATGTGAACAAATCAATAATAATGATCGAGAAAGAAAGTAATTATAAATTGTAATTTAAATGATCGAAAAGGCGTTATAATTGATATCAAATATCAAAAAGAGATTTGTAATACTGTTTCAAGCAACTTTTTGGACTTTTCTATTGCTCTTGTTCATAAAAGTTGAAATAAAGATAATAATGGATTCAAATTTTTTGCCATCAATATCGAAAGGAGTACACAAGAAAAGGGAGTGAGCTTTTGACACACGAAAGTCCACCTTCACATCCATCTTTTTCTTTTTTTGAAATTAAAGATTTTTTGCCTTGGTATTAATTCTTTTATGCAATAAAAACAAATATATTGAGCATTACATATTAGGTTATAGTCATATTAACTACTACGTGTGAGACACATATTATATGAGTTTATTTAAAAAAAAAATTAAATATAAAATTGTAAACATTTGAAAAGTTTGAATTTATAAGAAAAGTGAGAAAAATATTGAATTATAAAAATTAAAGTGTTTTTTTTTCTCTTTAAATTTAAACAAATAATTTAGATAAATAAATAAATGAAATTAATGAAGCTTTAACTTAGTAATTTTGAAATTAAAAAGAAAGTTCATTAATGAAATTGATATGCATTTATTATTATATTTAAATACTATATGGAATTTAATAAAATAGAAAAACCATAAAATGAAATGTGGAATAAAAATTAATTTAAAATAACCATAAAATTGCATGTGGCAAAAAGATCTTTATTTATTAGAGTAGATATGTTCTTTCATTATATTCACTTACAGACAAAAACATAAGAAAAAAACAAAGTGGTGTAAATATATTGTTGGGTTGAGATTTTCAACTCATTTAACTTTAATGGGTCAACTCGTCTAACACGTTTGATTAAATAGGTTGGGTTGGATAAAAATTATCAACTCATTTCAACCCGTCAACCCATTTAACTTTAATATATATATATATATATATATATATATATATATATATATATATAATTTGAATATTATCATGTATTAATCATAGTATTAATTTGTAAATTATAATGTTGCATTATTATTATTATCTATGTTTAATAAAATTCAGTCCTAATTTTCATCCTTTTTTAGTGTCGATAATACTGGTCACTCTGCAAAATCACTATGAAACTAAACATTTTAATGTTATTTGAACAATTTATTTGTATTTATGAATTATGATTGTGCTTTTGTCATAAATATGAAGTTTTATTTACGTTTTATAATTTAAGTGGTATAATATATAATTTATTTAATTGATTTTAAATGGGTTAACCCAAGTTTAACTGATTTGTTTAATAGGTTGGGTCGGGAACTACATAAACAGATTAACCCAGTGACAACCCATTTATCTAAAATATTGGGTTGGGTTGGAAATATAATCTCATTTAAATAAACAGGTTGGGTAGGGTTTAAAATTTTCAACCCAATTATTAAATGGGTTGAACCCGATCCCAACCCAGGTCGACCCATTGTCACCTCTAATAACAATCTTTGTCAAGGATTTATATACAAATTACTCTGTAAAACAAACAATAAGACCCTAATTTAAAAACTAAAGCTTAATATTATTGTTATCCAATCAACTACTACTTTTTAATTTCATTTGGTTATTAATCTTTTTTTTTTTACGTTAGTTTCGTAAATATCATTTTGCCGGTTAAAATAGGGAAAATGTCTAATTTGGGCTCAGTTACACCTAGTCTCGGTTATTCCAAGTATGTGTGGCATTTTTATTTTTTAAAAATTTTAAAATAAAACTTAATTCATCTCGTATATGTGAAGCTTAATTCATTTTTAATTCCAAGTGGCCTTCTTCTTTATATAGGATTGTTTTTTCTTCTGATTTTGTGCTTAGGTGGGTGTCGGATAACTCTCTTTTATTTTTTGTTCCTTCTCTCTCCATAATGAATCAAGAACATGGCTAGCTCTGAATTTGTGCTCACCACTCGAAAACTCAAGTAAGAAGATTGTCGGTATTGGGTTTGTTTTTCCTTCTGATTTTGTACTGACCACTATGTCTCTTTCTTCACTTGAATTTGGTACACGGGAGAACAAGGTATAATTTTACTATTGGAGTTTACATACGGGTTAGTGAAGCGAGTGGAGGGGAGAAGAGGCTTCAACTTTATATATGGGTTTTATTTTTCCTTTGATTTATGCTATGAACTTCCATTTTACATCTAAGTTAGAGAACCAAGTGGATGAGATACTAAGGGTTTGATTTTGCATCTAGCTATTTATTCTTACTCCGATCTTTGTTATTAATTTTTATTTTGGACGGCAAAATTATATTAAACTAGCAAGGAGCTAGAAAATAAAACAATTACATGAAATTCAAAGCAAAAACATGGTTAGGAAGCCAAGCTAACTTGGTTTTACTACATCTATTAGAAACCCAAAAGAAAGTATTATATACGATATCATCAAATAATAAAAACTTTTTTTTTGATAGCCATTCCAAAGATGGTGACATTCTAAAAATTCCAAATGCACCAAAACGTTGTCAAAATCACAGCATCGAAAACCTTTCGATGTCTTCCCCTCAAATCTAGAGGACGTAAACCCCACTAAATAGCAATTTGACTCCAAATATTCATAATCATAGAGCACCCTGAAAAAGATGGTCAATGGTCTCCACTGCATAAGAGCAAATCAGATACATAATCATCGCCGCCATAATACCCCTGGAAGATAATCTATCTCTCGTAGCGATACTCTGAAGTTGTATCCTTCAAATCATAATATTGAGTTTAATGAGAACCCAATTATTCCATTTAGTAATCATATCACCTGAAGTAATCAGACCATTATCCAAAAAAGCGCGAGCCGAAGAGACTGAAAAGCTATCAGATATATCCAGAGACCACCCAAATATGTATGGTGCAGCAGTAAGCTGAACGTCCTGCATCAACCTAGAGAAAGCATCCAAGTAGGCTTGTTCAATACCACCCCTAGGCAACCATCTAAAATTATTAACACTCTAACCTAAAGCAATATGGTCTCTGATTGTAAAAGCACGATGGTTTTCCAATGTGAACAACCTATGAAAAGAGACAGCAAGTAGGATGTCTCCCATCCAGATATCGTGTCAAAAATAAGTACGTGCCCCATCCCCTATCTATATAGGACACACCGCCTGAAAATCAAAACCACGATCACTAAGATTAGATAACATCCCTGTAACGCTATTCAAAGGACCTATTCATTTTCTCTTCGAAATCAAAGAATAAGGTTAACCCTCCAAACCATACAAGACTTTCACCACCCTAACCTACATCAAATATGGGTAATGAAAGAAATGTCATCGTCACCTAAGAAGTAAAGCCATGTTATAAGTAAAGAGACTACGAACGCCCAAACCCCTATCATCTCATGAAGCAAGAACCTTATCCCACCAAACCCAATGCATATGACAGTCATCCAAATTAGCTCCCCAAAAGAAAGAAGCTCTTATCCTCTCTAATGAGTTCAACACCATGATAGGAACATGAAAAATGGACATCAAACAGCTGCCTAAGGACCCCAAGATAGACTTAATCAGAGTAAGACGTCCCCGAATAGAAATACATTTTGCCTTCCAACCCACCAATCTACTCCTGAAGCGCCCCAAAATAGAAGACCAAGCTCTAACTATAGACATATTTTGACCAACCTTCACTCCCAGATGAGTGAAAAGAAGAGTATCCGAGACACACCCCATATGCTAAGCCATAGAAGAAACTTGATCCGCACTAACACCCACACCGGACAACTTACTCTTGAGTAAGTTGATTTTCAGACCTGAAATCATAAAGAAACATCTAAGAATACGAACAATGTGAAGTGCATTCGTTTGATCCCACGCAACCTTCAAAACAACATCATCGGCATAAATAAGATGAGACATATCAATGCCCCTAATGGAAATCACCCTATAAACATTGGCCATACACATCATGGTCAATGTAACGTCCTAAAATTTCATAGTAAAATTTTCATTTTTCAAACAATAAACTATAAAAACGAGTTGTTCTAAAACCAATCAAAATGAATATATTATTTAAAGATCAAAGTAATATTGGAAATTGTCAATTCATAAAACTCTTGTGGATGCGGTGCAGTCATGTCGGGAATTTCCTTTTCGTACCGGAAGTACCTGAAACCATAAACGTAAAACCGTAAGCACAAAGCTTAGTGAGTTCCCCAAAATACCTCATACCAAACATACATAACAATCAAAACATAACTGAGTCTATTTCACCACCTTCGGTATCTTTCAACCGGTACTGGGTCTATTTCACCCCCTTCGGTATCGGGTCTATTTCACCCCTACAGCTAAGCATACAACCATATCAACGAAAGTCACGAAGGAAACATGCATAAACATACATAACATGGAATTGTCACGAAGAAACCTATCATCCTACTAACATAATCTAGTGGTGCCTTCGACCCACAAGTACAGTGGAGGAAACTCACCTCCCAGAAAGATCGCTGAACAAGACACTGCTCAGAATATCAGCTCTACTGGTCACCTATTCATTGGAATATGACCAAACTTAACTTATAATCAATATACCCAAAATACCCTTAGGTTAAACTTGGTCAAAAAACAAGTCAATGTCGAAAAAGTCTAAAAACCCAACCGAGTCAACTCAGCTGAGTACGCCCAGTGTACTCAGCTTGTACGCTTAGCGTACTCAAGCCTTGACCAGAAACGGGGTGTTAACCTCGTACACCCTGTGTACCATAGCATACGCCCAGCATACGTTCAGCCATCATTTCCTTCTATTAAGAGCTTAATCCCTTAAGCTCTTTCGTCCAAATTCCAGATCTAGTCCTCAAATGATGTCCTTCTATT